AGATAGAGAAAATACCCAGCACTCTCTAGAGGCAAGGAAATGCTCACGGTGCCAGGGAAGCTGCTGGAAAGCAACAACGGAGACAGCGCCGCATGGGCAGGAGGGAGACTGGAGAATGCCCTCAGTGGAGACCAAGCAGAACATACCAGAAGGGGCAAGAGGAGATGCAGTATGTTATTCATGTGGCCAAGGGAAGGAAACAGCCCGAAAGCCCATCAGCTGGTAAATGGCCAAGCAGACTGGTCTCTCCACACGACGGAATACTATTCAGACACGAAAAGGAATGAAGGGCCTCTACCTGCTACGGCTCGGATAAGCCTGGACAACGCTATGCTCAGGGAAAGAAGCTGGTCACACACACCGCACGTCGTGTGATTCCATTCACAGGAAACACCAAAATAGGCAACTCTCTAGAGACAGAAGGCCAATCAGTGGCTGCTTAGGGCTGGGCGGGGGTGGACAGCCAGTGACAGCGGTCTTTTTGAAAGATGAAAACGTTCTAAAATTGATGGTGATGACAATTGCAAATCTCTGGGAATACATTAAAAAAACAAACAAACACTTAATTGTGCACCTTAAACGGATAAGTGATACGCTAGGTGCATTATACTTCAATAACCTGTTTTGGGTTTTGTTGGCAGTGGGTTTTTTTGTTTGTTTTTCGGTTTATTTATTTATTTATTTATTTTTTGGTTTTTATAGGGGATGTACTATAATCTTCCAATTAAGAGATGATTGGGGAGGGGCCTGGGTGGTGGAGGAGGGGAGGGGGTAGCAGAAGAGGGACTCCAGGAACAGGGCTCGGGTGAGTTTGGGAGGGACACGGGCTGCTGAGGGGAAGGGTGGTGGCGGGCCAAGCCAGGGTGGGGGCTGCCACCCTAGTCCATACCTCTTCCCTACAGGGGACAGAATGTGGAGCTTTGGGACATTTTCTCTTTAGCATGTGATGATGCTATATCAGAAGCATGACAACTTCCAATCAAAGACAGGAAGCCAAAAATTTACCCTCCTGGATAGGGATGGACTTGAAGGAACGCTTGGAAAACAGCTCTGTCCTTTTACCAAGGGACTGCAAACAATCGGGAGCTTTCGGAATAAAACCCAGCCTGCAATTCTGTCCGGCGCAGTCTCTCCGGTGTCCACCGTGGCTAGTGAATCACGGTGAGGACACGATTCAGCGCCCGGGGTACGTGCCACGTACATAATATCTTTCAAGAAGACATATTTTTATTGCTGCACTTAAGGACAGCTCCTCAGAATCCAGAGTCCATCAAACCGATGGATTGAGCGGCGCGAAAGTCCCCCAGTTCCCCTCCGGGCGGGTCCCTCTCTCACAAGGCCACACCTGCCCAGGCTGCAGTTAACACACAGGGCTCTTCTCGGTCTGGTGAAGATGAACTTCATGAAGTTGAAGTCTGGAGACGCCCGGTACACGTGGCACCCAAATGTCGTGCTAAGAGCTCCAAAGAGGGAAGGAAAAAAAACAAACCCAGTACTTATGATGGGTCTGTTATTTACACGGAAGTGCTTGTTGCTTGACAATTTAGATAAAAATGTTCCTTCCTCTCTGCGTGTGCTGCAAATTCATGGCGTAAAACCACTGGAGCAACTAATGGAGTCTTCACACATCGTATCTCCTTAAAGACGAGGGGTCCGTCCTCCAGTGGAATTCAAAACCTTGGCAGCCAGGCGTGGCCACACCTGGGAATGCGGCCTGGACAAATGCAGCTCTGACCAACTCCCCACACCTCCTTTTTTTTTTTAAAGCAAAAATATGAACTCCGTTTTCAAACAGCAAGGTCCTACGGAAGCTGGTTTCCTGTTTATCCCCTCGTCCACCGATGGTGGGAGACACACTGGAGAGTTATACAGGATTTGTATCTCTCTACTTCTGACCAACAACCAACCTATTTACTTCTGAGTCCTTGATAAACATCTTTAAACACTTGTCCATGTTTCTAGAAATCACCGAAACAATTCCAGTGTCAAGGGCATGAATGGGAAATTGATGGCTGGGCGCCAAAAGATATTACTCAGAGGTTATCCTATTTCTAACAGATGTGGGTAACGGGGTCCTCGGTTCCCTTTACTACCTAGCTCGTCACCCGCATATGCACTTTTAATTGAAACTTAACCTTTACAGCCCACGTTCCAGCCATTCCAGGCGGGAGCAGCACAAAACGCGTCTTCGTAAGTGTAAACGGTCTGAGTTTCTTCCTGAGTGAATCCATAAATGAGCACTACCTTTCATTTTATGTTGAGTCAAAAACAAACTCGAAAAGACTGGCCTTTTCCTACCTGCTCCCACATTTCTGCTTCTCCCGGGGAAGCTTCCGAAGTCACCAAGCAGAGCCCCACGGCTCCTCTTCCAGACCCTGGGTGCAGCCCAGAATCACCTCCAAGGGCTTGTGCATGGACCTTTCCCCAGCCGAGCTGCCAATCACCACCAAACTCTCCCAAGGAGAGAGAGACGAGTAAATGTTAAGTCTACCCAACTCATTTCATAGGTGACCTCTGAAAGATTTCACCTCCGAGCTCGGGAGAGACAAGGCAGCTTTATTAGCATGCCGCACCACGGCCTCAGCCCCCTCCCCTCCCTCTTTTATGAGCCCTTGTTATATAAAATGCCACAAAGGGAAAAGGAAAAACAACAGACATTCCAAACACAAGTTTCGATGGCCAGGCCCAATGCTGGCTGCTTACCAGATGTTATATTTAGTCATTTAAAAAAGAAACATTTTTAAAAGGCCAGAGAACAAAAGTTTTCCTTGTTTCCTTTCTTTTTGAACACACACTTCACACACACAAAAAGATGGAGGTGCAGTCCTTTCGCAAGCATCTTTCCTTCCCCGAGTTCAGATTTAAAGGCAAAGGAAGCCTGGAGTCGGACAGCTCCTTCCCCGAAGCTGCACCGGAGCCTCCGAGCAGAATTCTCAAATGTTTCCCTCAGCCTCATCTAAATTCCGGCATGACAGATAATAAATAGCTACTCATTTACTATCATCATAAAATTTTAAACAGCCTTGAAACAGTTGCTACAATACAGACGAAATGATCAAACCCAAGCTCTGAAAAGCCACTCCAAATAGTGAAACTATTGCCATGCAGAAGCACACATAAAGACATTGTTGCCATAAAAGCTGCGGGATTACTGGATTCTCTCTCCCTCTCCCTCCCTCCCTCCCTCTCTCTCTTAAATCTTCCACTCAGAGCCTAAGAGTCAACAACTTGCCGTTTTACCCAGTGAAAAAAGGGCTTAGCAACCCTCAGCTATCACACCGTACGGGATTTGATGATGGGGGTTTTTTTCTTTAAAAAAAAAAAATAAAGTATCTGATTTGATTCTGCACAGTGATTAAACATCTTTGTGCTCAGCGAAGGGTCTTCCAACCCCTCCCCCTCCAAAAATGGCATCAAAGCAATCAAAATGGTAATGCCGGGCCTGGGTCCCCTCCCCCCGCGAACTCCCCGACTTCGCCGGGGCCGCGCGCCGGACCCCCCTCCGGCGGGAATGGAAGCTTCCACGCCCGGACGGGGGCGCGGGCCAGGCGGGCGGGCGGGCGCGCGCGCGCGGCCGGGGAAAGGGGGGGGGCGCGGCACCGACAGAAAGGGGTTAATGCATTCGTCCCAACCCTCCCGTCCAGCCGGGCGCCCCCGACCAGGCGCGGACCCGCGGGGACAGCCATCTTTCTTTCCGCAGCCCCCGGCCCCCTCCTCTCCGCACGCCCCCTCCCATCACTTTTCAACTTTAAAGACTCGAAATTTACACCCGGCTTTCGAGTTCTCCGGCTCCGCGGTCGCCGCCACCCCCGCCGATCTCGTCCACGTCTCTCCCTCCACCGAAAACCCCTCCGGGAAGGGGCCATCGGATCCTCGGCCGGGAGTTGGGAGAGGACGGAGGGGCCACATCAGAGGCCGCGGCGGGGGCGGGGGCGGGGGCGACGCTGTCCAAGTTTGGCGCTGACGGCTGCGGCCGGCATTCCGAAGGAAGCGCGATCGATGGGCAGGGGGTGCGGCGGGGCGGGGGCGGGCCCGCGGAGGGGAGGGGCCGCGGGAAGGGGCGCCGGCGCCCCCGCCCCCGCCAGCCTCGGAGCCCCGGGAGCGCCATTGGCTGCGCCGCTCAAAGTTCTCGGCTCCGGGCGGCGCTGAGAAGGGGCGGGAGCGCGTGTGAGGGGTGCCGGGCGCGGAGGGGGAGGAGCGGAGGGGGAGGGGCGCGAGCGGCGGGGAGGGAGGGGGCGGGGGCGCGCGGCCGGCCGCGCTCTGGCGGCGGCATCTGTTCGTGGTGCTGAAACCCCGAGCGCTGAGCTCAGCGCAACTAAGTCACAATGGACAACTTTTCCTCCCCGGAGGGGCCGGGAGGGGGGTCGGCGGTCGTGCCCCACGCCGCGAGGCGCTCCTCGGGTGTCCCAATCTACGCCTGGAGGCCAGAGGCCAAAGTTGGAGCAGAACTGGGGGGTCCTGGGGGCGCCTTTCTTTTGTTCCCCGCGAGCTGGCGTCAGGTTCCGAGAATAAAAAGTGATGCTGGAGAAGTGGAGGGGAGGGGGGAGCCCGGAGGAACGACGCTTTAAATCAGGTTTGCAATGGAATCCAGAAATCGCTTCCAAGGAGTTTGGTATCCAGGCCTGAAATAGCGACCCCCGCCACCCCTACCCTCACAGCGGCGTGAAGTGGGGGACACCCAGCCGGGAGAAACTGCCACATTCCAAAAACATGTCCACCAACTCAAAATGGACGCCGGGCTGCTCGCCGCCTTTTGAGTGCAGCTTCTCTCTTTCGGCCACTACCGGAGCCTTGCTCTCCCCCCCTCGGCCTCCAAGAGCCCGGCTCTTTCTTTCCAGAAAAGAGGGGGCGGGTAACTTTGAGGGCTGCAGACAGACTCCTTTGGGAGTCTGAGCGTGCGGCGCCGAGGCCGGCACTTTTTAGGGTGCTGCCAAAGTGCCGGGAGACCCCTCCTCCCCACCGCGGGCGGAGTTTGGGGGCGCAGGCTCCGGCTCGCTTACTTGTTTGTCGCTGAGCGCGGCGATCCGCGGTTGCCTTTCGTGGAGCTGCTTCTTGAGGTCGCCGTTCTGCGGAAACACGGAGGAACGGGCTCAGGCCGGCCACCCCGGGGGTCGAGTGCGCCCGGGGCCCCGCGGGCCGCAGCCCCCGCCCGACAGCTCGCGGACCGGGTTGTCGGCAGCGCGCCCCAAGTTCCCCGGGCCGCGTCCTGCACGCGCGGCGGCCGGGCAGTGCCGCGCGGGGCCGCTTACCTGTGGCTGCCGCCTCATCGGGGCAGCTCGCGGGGCGGGGCGGGGGCAGCGGCCACCCGGCGGCGCGCCCCGAGCCGTGCAAGTTTGCAGGCAGGGGTGCGTGTGCGAGTGAGTGTGAGTGTGACTGGTTGCCGGGGGAGGGGGGAGGAACAAAGAGCCAAGTAAACACGGCGAGTCCGTGTCGAGCAAAGCTCATAAATATTCAAGTCGCGTCCTAATCTCCCCAACACACACACGCGCACGCCGCAATTCCGCTCGGGCTCCGGCCGCCACGCCGCCGCTAGCCCGAGCAACAATCGCCAAAACTACTTTTGCAAACTGTGCCAGGTTGCACGGGGGTGGGGGCCGGGTGGGGGCCGGGTGGGGGTCGGTCCACGCTCCCACACAAACACCCCGGGGCAGGCTCACGGAGGGGCCCCTTCCTGGCACCCTCAGCCCTGCAGACCCTGCGTGGAGAAAGAGAAGCGGGGCTCGGGTCCCACAGGGTTCAGACCCCACCCCCCCAAACTGTGCAAGATTGAGAGAGGAGGGAGAAGGAGGAGGAGCTCGGGGGGGGCGGGGGGCCGGGCGCGTAAAAACTCCCCCCGGCCCCTGGGCAGGCTGGAGGAGGAGCACTCGCCGGGCACCTTCAGCCGTGGAGACCCTGCCACGACGAGGAAGAGGACGCCGGGCTCGGGTCCCTGAAGCCCCCCACTCCTGGCCCGGGGCCCCCGGCCACCTACCTGGTGGCGCGCGAGTTCCACGGCGAGCGCCTCGGGCCGACTCTGCAGCTCCATCCCGGCAACTTGGGCAGCACTTTGCGCTCACTTTGGCCCCGGCTCCCGGGAAGTTGCGCGATTCCGCGGGGGCGGGAGCCGGCGGGGGCAGACCGGGCCTCCGCGGAGGGGGGGTGCACACGAGCCCCCTCCCCCAAGGCCGAACCGGAGGGAGCCGGGGGGGGGGGCGTCTTGCGAGGGGGAAGAAAGGCGGCCGGGCGCCGCGGCGCTGAGCTCGCGGCCGCTCCAACTCCTCAGGCCGGCCGGCAAGTTGCGCCGGGTCCCCGGGCTCCCCGCGCTGGCCGGCGCATGGCCCCCAGGCGCCCGGGAGCCCCGCGCAGCCCCGCGCGCGCCCGCCCCGCCGCCGCCGCCGCCCGCGCGAGCCGCCGGCCGGCAGGGACTATATTTCCTCCGGCGCGCGCCTGGATCTCGCAGGGCCTCGGCAAAGTTGTGCCTCGGCACGATGCTAATTCGGCAGTGCCCGGATGGAGCGGGCCGGGGCGGCGGGGGGCGGGGCCGGAGTCCGCCGCCCGCCCCGCCCCGCCCCGCCCGCGCGTGCGCACTGCGGCCCCGCCGCGGCCCGGCTTCCCGACCCGAGAACAAAAGTGGCGGCTCGGCGGGGCGCGAACTCGCCGGCCCCCCGCGGGGGGCTTCGGGCCCCGGGGCCGCTCGGGCCGGACGCCCCGCCGTCTCTCCGCCCCCGCGCCCAGCCGCCCGCGGGGAGAACGGGCGGCGCAGCCCGAGGCCGGGTCGTTGGTACTTTCCGGTGGGAGGATAAAATGTCCGTTTATTCGTTTCTTTCCTGCTCCGGCGCTCGGGGCCCTTCTCTGCCCGCTCTCCCTGCCTCGGGCAGCTCCGTCGCCGACTTCACTCAAGTCGCCTGCCGGCCCTGCCGCCGCCCTGCACACCCCGCGGCTCCCGGGGAGGTGGCGCTCGTGCGGTGGCCGGGGTCCCCCTGCGCCCCAGGGCCGCCGCGGTGTCTGGACGGGACGAAGACGGGTCTCCTGACTGTCCCTGTAGTGGTTTTTTCACATCACAGTTAAACTCTCAACAGATGTCATCGGACTTTTTAAGGCTGTTGTTAAAAATCGTAAACGCGCCCGGTCGATGTGACATTGTACGAGCAGCCGCCGAGGTCGTATCCCCAAACTCGGCCCGGAGGGGACTGTCCCTGAGCCGATGTCTCCGCATCGTGAACGTCCCAGTGCTCTGTGCCCTGCCCCGGCATCCGGGTACCTTTGGAAGGCGCTGGGGGTTGGGGGGACGGAGCAGTCCTCTCTCAAAGGAAACGTTTAAACTGATAAATCATTATAACTTCATATTCCTGCACAGCCCAAGAAATACCTCGGCTCACACAATCCCCCAAAGCCCCATTCGACATATGTCCCCCGTCCCATGTCACTTGTACCATCAGAAGTTGTTGGAGTGTTTTTTCAGGTCAGGACCCCAGCGTGGCTCTGGCCTCTGTTCAGGCTTTTGCCAAAAGTGACTTATGTGTTGGTGCCTTGGGCCCCAGACACCAGGGGCCTCTCATCTCTGACCCCAGCACTAACCTTTAGGAAAAACTCAGTAATGGGTCACGGGTGAGTCTGAGCTTCGTCATCCAACGCCAAACTAACGCGTGTTCTAAGTGTCATGATCCATTCCGTCTAGCACGAATCAGGGACAAGCACGGTTCACCGAATGAAAAACAAAAGGTCTGATGCTGGGAAGAAGTTCTGGCTCCTTCCACTCTGGGTTCAGCCCAGCTCAGGATGGCATCCTCCCACCTCAGGGCTTTCATTGGCCCCGGGTGCCAGTTGGCCCCAGCCTGGTAAAGCGGAGGGCCCCGGGGAGCCGTGTGTTGTGAGAGCCCAGGGCAGCTGGCCAGTGTGAGCGCATTCCTGCTGTAATCTCTGTAAATGTCACTGGCTTTTTGGTAAAAATTCATAATAATCTCATTGGCCATGTATGTAATTAAATCAGCAGACAGGATTCTCAGGTCGTCCGTGACCCAGGCGCGCGCGCTCCGGCAGGTGCCGGCTAGAGGAGAGTGCTTTCTGCTGTGGAGCATTTGAAATGCTGTCTGCAAGTTTCTGTTAATTAATTCAGGGCGCAGTAATGATGTCTGCTTGGCCCTCTGTTGTTTTCCTAGCTACCTAATTCCTGAGCAAGCAACGGAGGCCCAGGGCTGGGGCGCACTCCGACGATGAGGGAGTTGAAGCCAAAGGGCTTGTGAGCAAACGTGCAGAGTCTGGTGCTGTCACCGCGGACACACCGCTCTCTGACTCTGTCCTGCTCTCCCGGCCGCCCTCCCTTTGCCCATGCTGTGCCCTCCGTGTGGAGCGCCCTTTCCCTCATATCCTACCTTTTAAAAAGCCTCTTCACCCTCCCATGTTCACCTCAAATGCCCCATTTCCCGGGAAACGTACTCTGGTTTCTACACATGAGTTCTTCACTCCTCCCTGGGGACACCTGCCAGGCGGAGCTCCTTAGCGTGAGGCGCATTCTGTCCCGTAAGGAAGGGGATTGCGTTTGTCCCCACAGGCGCCCAAGCCAACTCCGAGTCTGGTCTGTGAGCAGAGCTCGGCATCTGTGTGTGACAGATTGACCCCATGTGCCTGGAGCCAAGCAGGCACTGGTGCAGGGGACTCAGGTTTCAGGGGGGCGAGCCCTAGGAGAGCCTCAGCGTCACAGACTGTTACTCTGCTCCCTGAACATGGGTGGTCGGGGCCTGTCCCATGGCTTGCCCACAAACTCAGAGCCTGGCTGGAGAATCTGAGAGACATCTGCCAGACACGACAGGCTCAAGCCTGGACCCTGCTGTCCCCAAGCATCTCCTGGGATGTCACTGGGCGCCTGCACTAACCAAGCCCTGCTCTAAGCTCACCGGCCCCAGGGGTAGCAACACCGCCCACTGACCCTGGAGTCACCCTCTCCTCTGATGTCCCATGTCACACGCACTTCAGGTAATTAGTCCAGTTCAGATCATACTGGATTAGGGTGGACCCGATCTCCCATATGACTGGCGTCCTTATCAGAAGAGGAGAGGAGGGACCCAGACACACACGGGTCAATGCTGTGTGATGACAGAGACAGAGATTGGTGTCCCTAAGTCGAGGAACACCAAGGATTGTCGGAGCCACCAGAAGCTGAGAGAGAGGAGGCCTGGGAAGGATTCTCCTCTTTCGGAAGGACCAGCCCTGCCAACACCAGGATTTCGGGTTTCTGGCCTCCAGGCTGTGGAAGGATACATTTCTGTTCCTTTAAGCTCCCAGTGTGTGGTACCTCGTTAAGACAGCCCGGGAAACCCACACTCGGTCGGAGCCTCCTTTCTGATGAGCAGACAGGCTCTGGTCCCCGTCCCACTGCCCCCCCTCCCCAGTCCTGCAGGCACACAGACCCTCACTCCTGCATCTCCCAGGGAGAAGAGAGGAGCACAGGGCTGGTCGTATTCAGGTCTACAGTGGTCCAGAACCTGTCAGGTTTTAGAAGTCATAGGATGCACTTGTCAGACATTCCCGAGAGCCCCCGTGGACCAGTGCATCACCCAGCAATCACACCCCTTGGTGTGGATTCAGGGCCATTGTCATGACTTTACTTTAACTTGGTGACTTCTCTAAGAACTCTATTTCCAAATAAGGTCCCATCCTGAGGTACTGGGATTAGGACTCCCACGCAGGAATACTGGGAAGACAGTCCAACACAACGGCTTATCGGGAGATTTCTCTCGGAGATTTCTCTCTGGGGAACACTGAGTTTCCGTTCACTCCCCACACATCTATGAAGCACGGATGCTGTGAGTTCTTAGTCCTTGCTCCTGATTTGCATATCTAGTCCCACCTAGCAGGAGTGCACAGGGAGTCTGGCAGGACTTTAGATTGGACGTTTTGCTAATTTGGGAGGGAGTCACTCCTTTCCTTCCCACCCCACCTCCCTGTCCTCCCCTCTGGAGCCACACATCCCACCTGGTTTGTGATGGAAAAGATGGGATGCCCGTCCATGTGCTCTGGGGCCCTTTACCGGACAGAGGAGAGGTGGAACCGAGGCTGGTGGGGAGGCCTTGGCTGACATCACGATCATGACCTGAGCTGAAGGCAGAGGCTTAACAACTGAGCCACCAGGTGCCCCAAGATTTTATTTTTAAGTAATCTCTACACCCAACATGAGGCTGGAACCCATGACCCCGAGATCAAGAGTCATGAGCTCTACCAACTGAGCCAGCAAGGCGCCCCTACAGTTTGACCTTTCTTTTTCCCCCCAAATCGTTATTCCCAGGAGTCTCAAAGGTTATGTGGATTCACACGGCATTTCTAAACTCTATACCTATTGCTACGTCAGCTAGAGCAGAAAGACAAGTCCTCCATGTACGGATTATATGTTGACAATGAACTGGAGAACGGCTAGGTCCTGTCGTCCAAAATCCCTTCAAACACGAATGGGACGGCCTGGAGGCTGAGCAAATGCCCCCAGAGCACCGTGGTGCCCCTTTCCAGACTGGGGAAGGTTCCGTGGGTCTGGTCCAGGGCTGAGGCCCCCTGTGTACCTGGAGAGGTAGAGGATGAGGCGGGAGCCGGCATGGACGGGTCACCTATCACTATGTGTGCCTACTCCAGGCTAACTGGGTTGTTTCACCACACCATCATTCCCATCAACCTTGGGCCCTGCCCCCCTGCATGGCAGATGTAATTGCCCCATGTTTGAAAGGCGAGGCCAGGGAAGCTAAATAGTGGCCCCAGATCTTGCCAGTGTGGGCTGGGGTCAGGATTCAAACTCAGAGCTGTCTGGTTGCAAACCCAGGATGGTTCCCCCACCCCGACCACCTCCCCGGCTAGCTGGGTCTCCATCCTGGTGCTGTTACAAGCTCAGGGTCAAAAAGCCACTTGGGGGATTGTTTTTTCTCTCCCACAATGCATTTTCTTACCTCTCCTGCCAACAGCAGTACAGTTTTCAAAAGCAGAAGTCAAAACCCAGAGAAACCCTGTTACTGAGGCAAGACCGACCCACAGACAGCTGTATGTCCTCAACATACACGGCCTGGTGAGCTTGGGGGGTAAGTGTGCACCCATGAGGCCATCACCGCAGTCAAGGTCATGAACTTGTCCTTCATCTCCAAACGTTTCCTACTGCCCTTTTTATTTAAGACATTTTTTTTCAAAGATTTTATTATTTGACAGAGAGACAGAAGGAACACAAGCAGGGGGAGTGGGAGAGGGAGAAGCAGGCTTCCTGCTGAGCAGGGAGCCCGATGCGGGGCTCGATCCCAGGACCCTGAGATCATGACCCGAGCTGAAGGCAGACACTTGAGGACTGAGCCACCCAGGCACCTCA